TTTTACATTGAATTTGATAGCACTATTTGGGTAATACGAGTAGAAATTCCCAGCAAATGTCAATGGCTCTTTGTAAAATTACACAAAGACATTTGATCACAATGCTACTTTTCCAATCCTTTTTAAACACTAAAGCGAACGCAAAAGGTAACTAAGTGACATTTTCTGTAAAACAAATAACATAACCGGCGCAAAACTAGACTCGAAACTTGACAAAACTACGCATGCTTGCACAGAGAAAATAAAAAGATTGTTTTATTAAAGTGTTTTAAACAGTCGGTGCGCTCCAATATAAGAATAGCAAAAAAGCTCAAAATGTAGCTCTAAAGCGAAGATTGCATTGAACGCCTTTTCTTAGTGAAAGAAATTTCGATGAAAGCGTTGACATTCTAGAAACCGTAATGGACCTTTTTTCTACGATGACCAATATCATAAGCGCAAACGTCTTATTCACCACCTAATATTCCCCGATGCGAGAAAGGCAAAAGAAACGACAATGACCTACATTCCATTCCAAGCGTTTCATTTCTAATTTTTCCCCCTTTACAAAGTAGCTTATACCGTATAACGTCTTGCCGGTATAAATTAAATTTGCGCATTTTTATCGTTGGAAGTATGGACAACTCCTAATTTTCCATTTACGCGAAGTGGCAGCTCGCTAAATAAGTGCCCCGTAAGTGGTCCTACTGAAACTTTTAGTATTACAGCTTATTTTGGATTAACTTCGTTTTCTTTTATTACGAGAAGAATAACGCATCCCCGCACGCGCTTCGAATTTATTATCTGGACAACGTGAAAAATTAAGGTTTTTTAAGTTGAATTGTATTGATCCGCCCTCTACCTATCCCCATTTTATACGAGTAGTATTTTAGATGTATGATAAGTTATAAAGCGTCTGAATGACACTTGTGTTTTTCCAATAACGCTTTCCCTTTTGTTTTGGATTAGGTGTAACGGGTTTTTCCGCCGATACGCTCATTGACTATAAATAAATCAAATATTGAGGTTAACGGTCTTTCAATTTTTAACTGTTTATGTAGATAATAAATTACAGGATCTGAGTAGCCCTTCGGTATCTATAACGATGATTTATATTACCTATATTTCCAATGTTATATATCCGCCATTCATTTTCAGCGACTGTACACTTTCCTGATTCGTCACAAATAGAATTACTGTATACAGGGCCGTCAAACTTCAATCGGCCCTTTTTTTATGCTGATTACAATAGTGAAAACAGAAAAGCAATAAATTATTGACAGTCTCATTCTCAAATATCGACAAAAACGTACTTTTCGCCATTGCAATCAGGTTAAAAAACACACTATAGTTCTCCAATAATAATAACGAAGTTAGTAATGGAGGTCTATGGCATATTGGACAGTGAACGAACGTCTTCAACCCGAATTGGCGTTGCCTTAAAATAAAAAAAATAATTAAATTGGAAATGTAATACAATATAACACCAATTTACAAAACAATTCAATCTATCATCCCCGTCTGCGACCTTTTCATGGTCACAAATCCCACAAGATTTATGTACGGGATTAGAATTCTATGTCTGTGAAGTGTACGTACTCTACATTTAGTTTCTAAAAGCGTCGCGTTTTAATGCTCTTTACTGCTACCGTCAAGTTAAATCGTGTTCGAATTTGTAATTAACGTTTTTCATAGTCAAATATCAAAAATATCGAATTACAATATTGTGCTGCAGATAACTCGTTATATATAATAATTCATTACCTAAAGCAATTTATAATTGCCGGTTGCAGCAGAATTGAGAGTTAATAGTTTTTGCGCAAAGCACAACGTTATCGCACCTGCTTTAATTAGCAATTAGGTTCTATGTTCGTATCTCCTTTCTAGTCCTAGATCTTTTGTAATGTAAATGGAAATAAATGTGCAAAATTTTCACGAATCAAATTCTTTATTTGCTATTTCTGTCAATCTCGTAAGTCGTAGTGCCAACACTTTTGAAGGAAGCCATAAGTGAGTTTGCGTTCCAAGTATAGATACTGTTTTAATGAAGACTTGGAACTTTAGTAAATTCTTTTATTTCATAATCGAATATTACATTAAGTGGTTTCCCAACAAGAAAGTCTTTCGAATAGTTTAATAGAAATTTTGCGTTGCTATTTGAAAAATAAAGTTCGTGGCTATTACGTCGCTCCAAAAATTTTTTTTCAAAATCCGGTACGTTGCTTTGCGTTTCCGTATGCACAGATCCAAAATTTGAACAAATCCGTCGAACCGTTATCTCAAAACAAAAATTTTGTTCTTTAAAATTTGCTTAAAATGAACGTCGACATTTGATAAAATTTTGACATGTCCTAAAAATGGTAATCGTAATAGCCACCCAACTAAAGCTAGGAAGCTCACCCTGTATAAATAAAGAAAACGCGAGTTTCCAAAAATTATCAAAAATGTCAATATTTTGGTACTGTACTGCAGTATACACGTCTGTATATGAAAAATTGCGCGATCCGATATTATTATATTGTTAGAATTAATGTAAATAAAATTTCGAACTAGGGTACCGAATTTCAGTCAGTCAGTAGGGGTGGAAAAATGGAATAGCCTACTGGCGAAAAATTTGCAAATCCGCCACTGATTTTAAGGAAAATTTGAAGTTTCTAGCTATTTCTTTTTCATAAATGCGCTAATAATAAAGTTGTTATACTAGCAGCGCTATCTAACGGTAAAGCCAGCCATCCAGCCATAACGAATATAATAACTTATTTTTTTCAAAAATGCCCTAAAAATGTGAAAACTTAATCCAAAAATAAATTAGCCCCTCCCCCCTAATTCTGGTCCAAAAATTATGAATACTAGCACAAATCTACCACAATTCTTACATTACAAGGATTTCACCCTGTTATGGGAATCTTAAATCAAATCAGCAGTTTTTATTGTTATATTTTGACAAACACATTAAGCTGTTGGAAATTCGACTTTTTCCAAGGACGAACACAACAGTCATCAGGTACCTATGGTGTAGTACAACACATCACAGCAATTGAGCAAAATATTATCCAGCAAATACTGTCACGAATATTAAATCACGACAGCCAAAGGGAATAATAAATGCATCTTACTTTAACCCTTTAACTTAAGTTCTCAAATTAACAAAATTAAGTTAAATAGATTTTCCGTCAAGCATTTCCCAAGAAAAGCGATTAAATCGCAACAATTATCGCGGTAACTTAATTTACTTTATGCCTAAATAATTAAATTCTCGCATTAATTGAAATTCAACCCCTAAATAGGTAATAGAAATAATAGCTGAGGCAGTGACGAAAACCATCAACAAGATGTCAATTTAAAGTCCGTGTTTAGATAAATTCTCTAGCAGGGATCTACGTGTA